GATTGGATTTATGAGCATTAAAAATAAATCTTTAAGAAAAGTCTTATTTGAAAGACTCATGGTCTGTGGTCAACCTGTGATTACTTTTGTTTTGTAATCAGTAGAACGTCCAAGGGGAGGGTTGCAGGTGGGAGGGTGGGAGGGAAGTCATTGGGGGGAGGGAGCATATGTCATCCATAAGCTGTACTTTGGAAATCTATATTCATTAAATAAAAGTAAAAAAAAAAAAAAAGAACTTCCAGGGGTTCTTTGATGGCAGTCATGGCGTCACACAGTTTCAGGGAGGTGCTAATGACTTCCTTGCAAAACTTAACAAGAAATTTACATGTATCCATGTGATTGCTAGTTGTTCTGTACAAAATTCACTGATTAACGATAAAACAACAGTATAGGACATCTGAATTATTTAAGTTGCAGGGAAAGGCCATTTAAAGTCAGTCTCTAAATACTACCAAATGGGGCCGGCACAGTGGCTCATGGGTAAAACCACCACTTGCAGTGCCGGCATCCGGGCATCCCATGTGGGCACGGGTTCCAGTCTTGGCTGCTCCACTTCCCTTCCAGCTCTCTGCTGTGGCCTGGGAAAGCACAGAAATGGCCCATGTCCTTGGGCCCCTGCACTCCTGGGAGATCCGGAAGATGCCAGTGCTGGGGCTCAAGGACTTGTACCATCTTCTCCTGCCTTCAGGTGGTGGAGGGAGCTGGATTGGAAGTGGAGCAGTTGGGACTTGAACTGGTGCCCATATGGGATGTTGGCACTGCAGGCAGTGGCTTTATGTACTGTGCCACAGTGCCGGTCCCAAATAACTGTTTCAGTATGTATCCTGTGCATGTATTGTCTCATTTAAAAATGTAAGTGATGGTTAAGCTTGTCATTATAAAACAATTTGAAAGCATGTCATTGTATAAATGAAAAGAAAGGTAGGAGGGAGGAATGGTGTTATGCTCTTAAAACAGCCTATGAAATGTGTTCCCTTTATATAAACAAAAAAAATATGAAATGGGGATGCTATCCAACTAACATTTATGTATCTCCACTAAAGCTGTTTGGAGGAAGAAATTAAAGAAATAAATAAAAATGTGAGGTATTGGAGCTATCACCTATGATGGTGGCATCTCATATAGGCACCGGATCCTGTCCCAGCTGCTCCACTTCCCATTCAGCTGCAGCTAATGAGCCTGAGAAAGCAGCAGAAAATGGCCCAAGTGTTTGGGACCCTGCCACCCAGGTGAGAGGCCAGGATGAAGCTTTTGGAGTTGCCCTGGCCAACCAGTGGTGGTTGTGGCCATCTGGGGAGAAAACCAGAAGATGGAAGATTTTCTCTCTCTCTCTCTCTCCTTCTGTACCTCTCCTCTCACCCTCTCTCTGTAACTGTGGCTTTCAATATGAATAAATCTTAAATAAGGCATAACAACTCAAACTATGTATACACTACAGAAACCATCCTAAATATTTATCAAAGTACAATTTGTGTTAAAGAGAAACTTTTTCCATAGAAAAAATGATAAAAAATTTTGTTTGGGACATCACCTTGAAAATGTACATAGTAATTAAAATTAGTGTAATATCACATTATATGAGGGTACTTCAAAAGGTCATGGAAAATATTATTTAAAGGTGCTTATTTTGATGCAAAAAACTGGAATCCAAACACAGATTTTTCATATTTATTTTCCATGAGTTTTTAAGAACTCACATATGTATGGATTTCAACTTTTCTTCACCAAAATAAATTTATCTTTTAAATGCAATTTCTGCCCAGTGTTTGGAGTAGCCGCATGCATAATACAAACATCAGGTAAGCATAGCAAATAAGCACGCTTCTTCACCCAAGCAGATAGATCAAATGATTTTTCTAACGTGATATTACAAAACTCCCATTCTAATTTCTGGTCAGCTTTGGCAGCAAGGCCATACACAGGATGCTCTGGGCAACAAATCTTCCGAGTTTTCCAAGGGCTCACTTCCCCTTTGACACTAAGCAGCTCTCCAAAGGAGTATGTATTCATTTTCACCTTGCTATTGGTTTGGAAAGTTACTACACATCTGTGATCTCTACAATGCAGCCCCTTCTGAAAAGGATGGTTCCTCTCCTTGTGGGAGCAAGCCCGATGATCTCCCCACGCTGAGAGACAACAGGCCCGCAGAGGAGCAGACTGACCAGGAGCCCAGAGCAGACTCCCTGGGGACTGAGGAAACTCATCAAGATACAGAAGCCCTCTGAGGGAGTGCTGTGCCAGAGCCGAGCCAGGAGGCCGGGGACTGCCCTGCTGCTCAGAATGTGCAGAACCTGCTGCTAGACCGAGGCTCAGACTGAAGCTTGGAGACCATCAGTGCCTCTGAACATGGGCCCCCTAGTCAGTGCGGAGGACTCCCGGCCCGGGCAGGCGTGAGAGGAAATTGGCAGGAGGCCATTGATGTGGACTCAGACACTGCAAGCCCATGGGGAGCTGAGCTGCAGTGGCTGCGCCTTCGTTAACTGCAGGAGGCTTGGACCCAGTTAGCCAGTTAAGCTGTTAGCAGCGATGCTGTCTTTAACCCACATGTGAGTTTCCTGTAAGTGCTGCCGGAACACGTTTTGGTGGAAGTTTTGTGAAGCTGCTTCACTTCTGTGGACATCCAGATTCAAGAATCATTTTGTTTGGTTCTGATTGGTTCTGTCTTGTTTGTGATTGTAAAAGTGAAAGCTGAATTTATTAGTCTAAGATTTTTCTTTTTCACAAGATTTTAGCATAGTATAGGGGCAGAGTGTAGGGAGAGAATAGAGGGGCTGCAGGTGAGGAGAGCCCTGGTTGATTTTACTTTTTTTTTTTTTTTTTTTTTGCAGATAAGAGTTAGACAGTGAGAGAGTGAGACAGACAGAAAGGTGTTCCTTCCATTGGTTCACTCCCTAAAAGAAAGCTACGGCCGGTGCTGTTTGGATTTGAAGCCAGGAGCCAGGTGCTTCCTCCTGTTCTCCCATGCAGGTGCAGGTTCCCAAGCTCTTGGACCATCCTCCACTGCCCCCCTGGGCCACAGCAGTGAGCTGGACTGGAAGAGGAGCAGCTGGGGCTAGACCCCGGCGCCCATATGGGATGACGCTGGCATAAGGGGAGCAATAACCAAGTGAGCCATGGCACCAGCCCCTGTTTTTCTACTTTTAACAAATTCTTTCTGAATTTATTTGGAGAGAGAGCAATAGAAAATCCCAGGTAGGTAGGGTACCAGGGGCCACAACTTAAAACTGTGTGCAGAAGGACAAGAAATAGAATAACAAAGTAAAACATCAGGCGTTTTATTGCAAAGAAAAACATCAATTGTACAAATGAAAATAAAATCACAAGTGTAAAAGCAACTTCCAAAACCATTTTTGGAGTATAGATGTCAAAGAGTTCACATGAGTTCACTCCCCAATTGTCCAAAATGGCCAGAGCTGTGCTGATTTGAAGCCAGGGGACAGGAGCTTCTTCGGTATCTTCACGTAGTGTAGGTTCCCAAGCACTTGGACCATCCTCCACTGTCCTCCTGGGCCACAGCAGAGAGCTTGACTGGAAGAGGTGTAGCCGGGGCTAGAACCCGGTGCCCATATGGGATGACGCTGGAATAAGGGGAGCAATAACCAAGTGAGCCACGGTGCCGACCCCTCTTTCTCCACCTTTAATAAATTCTTTGTGAATTTGTTTGGAGAGAGAACAATAGAATCTCCCATTAACTGGTTCATTCCCCTGGGTCAGGATCAAAGGCTGGAATTCTATCCAGGTCTCCCTTGCGGGTGTAGGAATATCATTACTTGAGCTGCAATGCTAAGTCTTTTGGGAAGGATTTCTAGAAAGATTCTAGAACATACTGAAAAACCAGCTTACTTTGAGGCAGAAATCAGCTGAGAAGTGGTTGACTCAGGATCAGAAAAATACAAGACAGAAGACTTGGACAGATCAATGAGAGGCTTCATTGGGTCTAAGGATTCAAAATGCAGGTGAGGTAGGGTACCAGGGGCCCAACTTTAAACTGGGTGTGGGAAGGACATGAAATAGAATAACCAAGAAACACCAGGCATTTTCTATGTTTTATTGCAAACTAAAACGTCAATTGTACAAATGGAAATAAAATCATACATGCAAAATCAACCTCAAAAACCATTTTGTTTATACATGTCTAAGAGTTAACATGAGTGACAAGAATTCTTATAGTGGAGCATGAGCAGCAGTGTCCTGAGGCTGGAACTGGCTGGGAGATGCTCTTTGATCTCAGAGGGGGCAGGCATTTCTGCAGGTGAAAGCACACCCATGGGCAGGGGTTCAGGGATCCAAGGTCAGAGCACCCATTTCTCCCTGTGCAACAATGGCAGAAGGCCCAGAATGCTCTGCCATTTCCCCACCTTGACATTCTGATGAGCACACGGCTACCACATTACCTGTCACATGACAGTGCCACTTTGACAACCACACACTAAGTTATTCCTTGAAGGGGGCCCAGGGCAACTCCATGAGAATAAGCATGAGGCAGCACTGATATAACTCAGTCACGGTTTTCATCTTTCAAGAAATTTTATGGAGCTGTGTTTTGAGAATATACAAATGGGAAGCTTAATACTTTATCTCTTGAGAACTATCATTATCAGAAATTATGTAGAAAGAAGAATAGATCCATGAAAAAACATTTCTACCCACAAAATGTGCAATCTACTTAAAACTAATATTCCCTCTTTGCTATCGACTATGAAACACACATCTTGCAATTATCACAAAGTTTTGGCTCTTAGAGATCTAGATTCCCGTTCAGAGACAAGCAAACAGAGGTCTCAGTGCCTAGTGTCCCCATAGGCTACATAGCTATTTAGTGAGGAAATCTACTCAAAATACGGAGGTCGTTTAGTTGCAAAACTACCGACTTGTTCAAAAATGCTATGCAATTGTTGCACCACAAGAATCTACAATCTATAAACTGTCCACCAAATGTTGACAGTATATGCTAACATTGTGTCTTCCTGGTCATCCTGACCAAGGGCCAAAGGTCTTTTTCACTTGAGAGCTTGCGGAAGGGCTGAAACTTCTAGGCAGATGCTCAGTGGGGCACCAGTGGCACCTTCTCTTGGAAGTTCCAGACAGAAGAACGGACGCAAAGGCTCCAAGGTGGGGAGGAACCTGTGCATGTAGATGAGAGCTTTATTTCCAACATCAAAAAACTTGATCTCTCCCAAATCCACATCCAGGAAAACTCCTACGCGGTGAAGACTAGGGCTTGCAGGAACGATTACATCTGGGACAGAGCAGGGGTGAATGAGTCCTGCCTTCATGCAGATGATCCAGAAACCGTGGTCGGAGGTTAAATCACCCTTCCACTTCCTGTCGACTGACTCCTGGCAGACACCCAGGGCCCACTCCCTGGCTTCTCCTACTTCAACCTCCCAGTAATGGCGGCCCCAGGAGAAGCAGGGGTTGCCCAGGACGCAGACCAGGTGAGTGAACCTCCTGGTGTCTTCCAGCTGGTTGTGGCGGGTCTTCCCACACTGGACGCTCCTCAGATCCCTGGAGAGCACAAGATCGGAGTGGGCGGTAGCTGCGTCCAGGGTCACGTCCTCCTGGAACCTCAGCTCTTCACTGAGGTGCAGATGCTGCTCCAGGACAGGACCATGCTGCCTGAAGTTATTGGTCAGAGCTTTGATTCTGCACTCTTGCACAAGTGGCTTCCCGTTGATTGAGCGACAGATGTGGCAGACCTGCTCTCTTTCTGAATTGTAGTTTTCGAAGCATTCTAAGCAGAAGACATGTCCACAGGAGAGAGAGACAGGACATGAGAAGTATTCCAGGCAAATTGGACAGGTGATTGCTGCTAGCAGGTTCTTAGCCATGGTCCTGGGGGAGTGGGGGAGCAGGCCTTGGCAGTGACCTGGTGTCAGTTCCCTTTAGCAGCTTCTGGAGTTGGTCAGGAGCCCTCAGTGCACCGTCTGCTCTGCAGTGATCAGGATGTATCTAAATCAATGCAAATTAAAGAACATAAATGGATGCAGAAACATGGAGGTGACATCCAGTCCACAGAGAGTCCTAGTAATGGAATCACTTGTAATGGAAACACTCAAAAACTCCCCGAAATCCAAGTGATGTCAAGAAAGAGGACAGGAGAGATTGTCATTGCCACAAGGCAGCTTACCTTGTGTGGGGTCTTGTTTGGGGTCTCTCCCAGGAGTCGCTGTCTGCTCTGACTAGCGTGTCTCTGTGTGGGAACTGAGCCCAGGTGGGTGTTCCATGAGACCTTGATAGGATGCAGTCTCCACCCCAGTCAGTATGGCGCTGGTCACCTGCAGTCCAGAAGAAAGAATTTCCTCATCGAAATGCAACCAGAATGTACAGAAAATCATGTAACATCTTCACAGCAAAATCCACTGCAAGATGAATGTCTTGGTTGAATTAATTCTACTGACAAAGCAGCATCCGAAGAAATGCTGAAAAATTCTAAAAAATCTAATCCTTGAGTGAATTTGAATAAAAATATCATCATTGCCATCAACTCCTCTATAAAAAGAAGCCAAGAAGATGCTCCTGACCCAGAAGATGCCCCCCTGTCCCTCCAGCTGCTCCCACAGTTTCAGAACCTCCAGTTCACCTAGAGCCTCCTCCCTGGCCTTCTGTCCATGGTTAGCATTCTCTGGATGGATTAACTCTGACAGCTGGGCATGGCTGACTGGAGGAGGGAAAGCCCCATGATCAGAACCAGCACTGAAGTCTGCCCAGCCCCTGTGAGCGTCAAATCCTGAAGATCTCCCTGCAAAAGGACCTGCATGAATAACTGGCAGAGCTCCCACCAAGACTTCACAAATCCCACATTCTGTTGTGGTTGGATAATGGAATCACACAAGAAAGAGCAGTCACTATCATAGTCCAAGGATTAAGCCATGGATGCAACCAAGGCCACACTGTTGAAAAGGAGGACAAGAACCACCAGGGAGCCTTCAGCATCTTCTCTCAGCTCCAGCCAATGACACATTTCAGAGGTTCCCATGCTCATTGATTCCACTAAACTCTGCAAATGCAGACAGGGAACATAGAGAATTGGAAGTTACAAAACATGTAAGCTTCCTTATATAGCATTATCTTATTCCAAGTAAAGACAAAGAAAGGGAAACATTAAATATCCAGAATTGATCAGTACAAATAAATATTTATTTATCTACAGAGAGAAAAAGAAAGTCTTCAGTCCACTGTTTCCCTCCCCAAATTCTTCAACCACTGGAGCTGGGCCAATCCAAAAAAGGAACCTGGAGCTTCCTCTGGTCTCCCACGTGGTACAGGGTCCCAAGAATTTGCTTTCCTGGGCCACAGCTGAGAGCTGGATTAGAACAAGAGCGGCTGGGACTCAAACTGGCACCCATATGTGATGCTGGCACTGCAGGCGGCAGTTTTCCCGAGTATGCCACAGCACTGTCCCCTGAGTAGCACACTGTGTATAAACCTGATGCAAGGGGGCTGCATGTCATTGGCATCCTAATTGGAGCAGCCGTTGGAGGCTTATCTGCTCCACTTCTGATCCAGCTCCCTGCTAATGAGCCTAGGAAAGCAGCAGAAGATGGCTCAAACACCTGGGTTCCTGCCACCCCGGTGGATGACCTGCATGGAGTTCCTGGGTCGTGGCTTCAGCCTGGCCTAAGCCCAGGGGCTGAGGTCAACAGGGGAACTGAACCCATTGAGGGGAGATCTCTTTCTCTCTCTATCCCTCACGGTTTCTCTGACTTTAAAAAAATAACTCTTTCCTTTCAAATGTGTTGAAAATGCCATACTATCCTAGAGTGTGCATAATCACTGTTTTAAACACCTTTGAAGTGTTTTTAAAATATGATAATAATGCAAATAATTTTCATCAACAGCAGCAACAACAACAAAAATCCCACAGACACACACAACTGCATCCTTCTTTTTAAGGCAAATTTATCATGGTATATTTTCACAGTCTGAAAGAGCTTGCCTAACTCATCATGGGACACTTTCAAAAAAGCTGAGTTGAAACCTGACCAAGCATAGCCAGTTGTTTTATGGTGTTATGATCAGAATCTAATTATCCATCAGAAAAATGTTTTAGTTAGGTATCATGAAGTTAGTAAAAATAGTACGTGCCTTTACTTTAGGTTTTAAGTGAAAACCTGGACAAATTTTATGAGTGATGCTAGAAAAGGAAGATGGGATTCATGCTGCACACACTTATCCTCATCCTCCCCTCCTCTTGAATAAAAATGCATTTTCACATGAAAAGTGAGCTGAATGGGGCCAGCATCATGTGTCAAAAACTTAACCCTCTGCCTGCTTGCCTGCATCCCATATGGGCTCTGGTTCTAGTCCAGGATGCTCCTCTTCCAATTCAGCTCTCTGCCAGGGCCTGGGAATGCAGTGGAAGATGGCCCAAGTTCCTGGGTCCCGTACCCACACAGAAGACAAGGAAGAGGCACCTGGATCCTGGCTTTGGATCCCCACAATTCTGGCCATTGCGTCTCTGGGGAGTGAACCAGCAGAAGGAAGACCTGTCTCGCTGTCTCTCCCTCTCACTGTCTGTAACTCCACCCCTCAAATAAATAACTAAAACTTAAAAAAATAAAGTGTTGGATGGTGCCATGGCTCACTTGGCTAATCCTCTGCCTGCAGGGCGGTCATCCTGGGTTCTAGTCCCGGTTGGGGCACCGGATTCTGTCCCAGTTGCTCCTCTCCCAGTCCAATCTCTGCTGTGGCCTGGGAAGGCAATGGAGTATGGCCCAAGAGCTTGGGCCCTGCACCCGCATGAGAGACCAGGAGAAGAACCTGGCTCCAGCCTTCAGATCAGCTCGGTGTGGCAACAGAAACAAGCCGGTCCTAGCTGCCATTTGGGGGATGAACCAACTGAAAAGGAAGACCTTTCTCTCTGTCTCTCTCTCACTGTCCACACTGCCTGTCTGAGCAGAGCTCTGTGAACTAGGACAGACTGGCTCTTCCCTTCCTAACATCCAAAGGGAAGAGAGTTGGGAAAACAAGTGGTTGCCAAAGAGAAATGGGCTGTGGATCTGGCCCAGAAGACAGACAACTCACCTTGAGCTGGAGACTTGCTTGGAGGTCTGAGAGGCCCCTGCCAGATCCCTCACCTCTCCTGCTCTGGGCTCCTCCCTGAAGGGACTTGGAGCTCTGAGTCTCTGGCCTTTTATAGTGCTCAGGACACAGGCTCCACCCACAGGGCCCCACCCTAAGGCATGTGCTGCCTACACCTAAGCCAATCAAGCAGAACCTTCATCATCCCTATTTTCATGTTCTGTCATTAAGCACCCTTAACATTTCTGAGTACACAATTCAAAGTTTTGTAACTCGAAGTAGGAAACCTACTGCCATTTAAACTAGACACTCAGTTTCCCAGCTCAACCTTAAAAACAAAATGTATTAGAGAGTAAAAATAGAAAAAAAACAGTGCCTAATCCTAATCAGATCCTGGCCCAGGTCATCACAGGCATTAACATCTCTGATGCATTCCTGAGTAAACAGGATTTACCAAGTTGTCCTTTGATTCTGCAAGTCCACTCTCAGGGGAAGCTACTGGGCTGGATAGGGAAGATGCATCCGTGTGAGGCTGCAGTGCTGCTGTAAATCATCAGCCACATCATGTGTGTGCTCTGAAAAGGGTGCTTGTTGAAACAAATAAATCACATGCCGTCTGCTCTGAGCGATACACACAAAAACCTTATTTCTTTCTTTAAATGATGCATTTATTTATTTATTTGAGTCAGAGTTACTGAGAGAGCGAGAGACTGAGAGACGGGTCTTCCGTCTGCTGCTTGACTCCCCAAATGGCCACAATGGCTGGAGGTGCACTGGTCCCATGCCACAAGTCAGGAGCTTCTCTGAGGACAGCACTCGGGTGAGGGGCCCAACCACTTGGTCTTCTTCAGTTTTTCCAGGCCAGCAGGAGGGAGCTGGATGGAAGTGGGGGGCCTAACTCGAGCCAGTGCACTATAGGATGCCTGCACCTCAGGCAGAGGCTTTACCTGCTATATCACAGCACCGGTTCCAATAACCTGAATGACTTAGGGTTCCTGTTTTTTCTATGACACCAAACACACAGCAATGCTTTTAAAAGATGTATTTATTTTCTATGAACTAGGAGTTACAGAGAGAGGGACAGAGAGACAGAAGGAAAGAGAGAGAGAGAGAGAGAGAGAGAGAGAGAGAGACAGAGAGAGATCTTCTATCCACTGGTTGACTCACCAAATGGCTGAAAAGGCCAGAGATGGGCAAGAGCAAGGCCAGGAGCCAGGAGCTTCTTCCACATCTGCCACTTGGGTGTAAAAACCCAAGCACTTGGGCCATTTTCCACTGCTGTCCCAGGTGAATTTAGCAGGGAGCTGGGTCAGAAGTGGAGCAGCTAGGATTTGAGCCAGCATCTATGTTGGAAGCCATTGCCAAAGGCAGTGGCTCATCCTGCTATGACACATCACCAGTCCCACATCAAATGTTTTTAGCCTGGTGAATTTCCTTACATTATATACCTTCAACAGAAAGTCTCAAATGTTTGTTTTTAAATTTTACCCTCAGAAACTTATAATTTTTGTTTTGCAAACTCTGTGATTCCTATGTACTAGAAAATGCCTGAAATCACCCCCCAGATGAAGTCACCCCCTAAATGACCACAATGGCTGGAGTAGGACTGACCAAAGCCAGGAGCCAGCAGCTTCTTCCAGGTCTCCTGCTTGGGAGAAGGGGCCCAAGGACTTGGGCCATCTTCTGCTGCTTTCCCAGTTGCCTTAGATGGGATCTAGATCAGAAGGGGAGGCAGTCGGATTAGGAACCAGTGTCCGTGTGGAATGCCCTTGCCTCAGGCGGCAGTTTAGCCTGCTAAACCACTGTG